CCCCCCAATGGTCAGATCCCAGGTTCAGATCAATTGCAAACAGAATAATTGATTGTTGCCTCAGTGGGAGCTCAGTTTGGTGTAAATAAATCGATAAAAATGTCGCACTGCATAATAAAGGGTCCATGCAGTGGCAGGTTACTCCTCTGCTGCCACCATTGAGAGACCTCATCATTGGGGTCCACCCCAAATTTAGAATTACCTGGTTGTTGTGGACTTCATTTACCAATTTGTTGTGGTTATTTGTTACGCAATATTGTACAACCCCATTATCAACCCGCATTGACCAGCACGGTGAAGTATGGTCAAACAACGCCCATGTGTGACAGCTTGTAGAGATCTTCAACCCAGCAGTGAATGCATGGCTGTACATTTTATTCATATTTAGTTAGCTGCAAATATTTGTAAGGTTTTAGTGTTTATGTACGTATGTTGAACTTATTTTACACAGTACGTAGCCAACTGTGGTAATCGGGAGGATTCGCTGCTTTGGAATGTTTGGCCAATACGATGAAAGTGGCACGTGAAAAGAAACGAGAGTTCGCAGAGGAAACCCATTCATCTACGAGAGAATCACACTGAAAACCACCACTATCTGCTGGCCATATCACAACCCCATAAATAAACCACTTGAGTTGTTAAGCAGCCAGCCACAGAGCTCACAAGTCTCACCCAGCATAAGCCACAAACGCGTGGTGGCAGCACCTCACTTATTTCACGCATTCGCGATGCCATTGAAATCTACCCAAGTAAATAGCTCGTCTACCAATAATGTGTCCCTCCCCTGGTATAAACCACTTTAAAGTGCAGCCCACACAAGTGTCTTCCCAAGTCAAGGCACACCAATTTAGTGACTTGAACCTTACACTGTACCCCGGCGCACGCACAATGTCCGTGATGCAGTAATTTGTTTATAGTCTGTTGATGGTCAGCGATGTGGCAATTGACTCATCTCGACGAGCGTTCAGGGTTTCGGCGTAATCGTCCTCGCTGCGTTTCGACATCGCGGAGTGTGGCACTGATTTCGGATTGAGTTAAGTTCACCCCTGGACAAAATAGTGTCCCAGAAATAAAATATTTAATTGCCTCGGCCAGTTTGTATTATTTGGTACCCCGGGGTACCGGCATAAGGATCACTTGGCAGTGGTGCTGAAGCATCAATGGACAACACTTCATTAACGCTGCCTTGTACCAAAAATATGAAATAGTCCACTATTTTGGGCATTTCCCATTCTTCAGAGCAGAGAGAAAGAGTGATGTATTGACTTTTCTTTGAAAGATTATACTTTAAGACCATTAAGACATTTTAACTAATCTGATCAATGGATTTGAATTGGCAAGTTCAGTAAATAGTATTGTACCATTTTTTGATTTAAAGCTTTCGTGACTGCAAGGATTCATCTTCTTTGGTTCTTTCGGTAAAGTCACGTAGAATGAGAATAAAATAATAAATTCATAAAATAAAATAACACAATAATATTCTCACGACGTTTCGGCCACAACACAAGCGGCCTTCATCAGGTGAAGGGACGAGACTGTCTGGAGGACAGCGCTGGAGTGAAAAAGCCACGCTCAGATCACGACCTTTAAGCTGTGTGAGAAGAAACAAAGCGCCTTGACAAAGGAATTAGCATAGAATTTAGCATTGAAATAGCTGAGTGATTCGCTTGTGACTGGTCACAGAAATGGCTATGTTAAAGTCAGAGCATACACATTCACAGAGGCACCTAGTACAAATCAAACAGGAGAATTTAGCATTGAAATAACTAGGCGAATTTAGCATTGAAATAACTGAGTGATTAGCTTGTGACTGGTCACAGAAATGGCTATGTTGAAGTCAAGGCCTACACATCTGAGCTATTCACAAGGTCAAGGGGTGCCTCTGTGGGTGTGTATACTTTAACTTAGCTATTTCAATGCTAAATGCTATGCTAATTCCTTTGTCAAGGGGTGCCTCTGCGGATGTGTAGGCCTTGACTTCAACATAGCCATTTCTGTGACCAGTCACAAGCTAATCACTCAGCCATTTCAATGCTAAATTATATGCTAATTCCTTTGTCAAGGCGCTTTGTTTCTTCTCACACAGCTTAAAGGTCGTGATCTGAGCGTGGCTTTTTCACTCCAGCGCTGTCCTCAGGACAGTCTCGTCCCTTCACCTGATGAAGGCCGCTTGTGTTGTGGCCGAAACGTCGTGAGAACATTATTATGTTATTTTATCAATTTATTATTTTATTCTCATTCTACGTGACTTTACCGAAAGAACCAAAGAAGAGTATTGTACCAATTGCCATTCTGGGTAAAAAAAACTCGATTATTTTACAGCCCATAGATGTGTTATCCAATCTGATAGCTCTGCATACAATCTTACGAGAAGTCAGAGTAGTCTTATGGAAAGATTGCTGCTCACCACGTGTACATCTACAGCTCTTTTTGTAATTCTATTTCTGGATGAGGGCCTCCCCCTGCCATACAGGACATGGGAGTTATATGGTCATTCTTTACGATGCTGGACAATGCACTTTGGTGAAGGCAGGAAGCATAGACGTTGGAGCATGATGTACAGACCAAAAATTTACTTTGATGCACCACATTAATATGACTCGTTATATATTGTACAATCATTGATCAACGAGCACAATGTTTATTGAATGTACGTTTTCCATTTGTCCTGTACACTTGTCGATATCGATTGAAGTGTTGAAAGTTTGTGTCTTCTTTAAAGAAAATCCTGGACGCATTTTTCCACTTGTCTAAAAGTTTAAATTTATTAATTCAGCGAAGTCTCCCACACCTCACTTCACTCCAAGTCTCTCTTGTCACTAACTCAAATATCATTGAGATTTCGTCTGGTTCAATTTAAGGATTTTATTGATTATTTACGCTTGTGAATAAAATAAAATAATCGTGTGCACAGTAGCTTTGCTGCTGTTGAAAAGCGCTTAAGCAGGTGCTGTGAGCACATTGCAAGAGCCTGATGTCCAATGGGAGGGCAAAGTAAATGTTCAGAAGTGAGCATCCTGGTTGCCGTTGGCTTATGAGGGTACTCAAAGTCTCTTGTTGGGAAAACAAGGACCATGCGGAGACCCTCACTTATGAAAAAAATGCACACTGATTTGAATATGAGCTGAAGTTATTTCTGTGTCCTCATGAATTAGAAAAGCTACGAGGTTGCTGATTCATCAAACCTATACTCAAGATAAAATTTGAATACATTTCTTTTAGGAACGTAAGTGGCCTTGGGTAGGGCATGCAAGAACAGTGATGGAATGGCAGCCAAGGAACGGAACATGTCTGAAGGGGACTTTCACCGATGAGATGGAGCGATGAAATCAGCTCGTGCGCAGGTGCTGGGTGAATTATTACATTGTAGGATCACCATGGGGAGACGTTCATCCAGCAGTAGATTGACCATGGGTGATGGTTATGACTTAATTAAGCATAACAGGATTTATCTTACTGTCACCGAGAAACCAAATAGATCTTAACGTTTTAGTCAACTGGTCTTGTTTTAGAAACTTCCTAATCACCATGGAGTTCTTGCGTTCTTCTTGTTCGTAAAACATGGTATTGCTTTGAATTAACCTGTTCGTCATGCAACCAGATTATCTGCGTAAAGATCACATTCCAATCCTCACAATATTCCAACTGCCCCTTCCTTAACATTTTTCAGCTGATACAAAGCCATATCGTAACTTCGTCATTACCTAGCCATCCCTACCTTGAAATCCTCACTTCACCCTGCAGTGAATGCCATGTCGAGATCAGACGAATGTAACGACATTTCAACTAACGAGAAATATGAAAACCATTTGAATTACTAATTGGCTGTGGCCAAGTTGTGCACAGACCCTTGCCAAAATTAGGTTTTAATGATCATAATCAAGGCCATTCGTGCGGGATAGTTTTGTCAACATTCGTGTTTTAGTACTGACTTGACGAGCTTCATGGTTATAATAGCTTGTTGCATTTGAAACAACACATCTAAACTGTCACGAAAACCCTGTCAGTTTTAGTTTGGTTTAAGAAAATGTTTATAATTCTGTACGCTGTATTATGTGTGCATTTATGTGCACATTGCATATAGCCTTTTTTGGCCAGACGCAATCAGGCCAATTTTGCCATTGACAACAATGCAAACGACCAAAGCACATAAAAAAACGTCCCTCAAAATACCCCGTACTGTATTGACAAAAATATATCGCGTGTTATATTTTCATCACGTATGCAGAGACTTTTCAAGCATTATTTTTAGCTAGGACTACAGCGATGCAGCTGAGCTGGATTACTCATGGGTGAATTCAAAGTCTAAAGGCACATTTCGTCCCTCTCAATCGTGGGTACATTCTGACCATTGCAAGTGCACTATTCTAGAGGCCCTCAAAAACAACTTTGGTCAGGGTAAGCGGGGTAGGGGTGAGAATTAAAGAGAAAGGCGTTCGCCACCCTGCACTGGCCGGTGTGGTGACACACGGTGAACCAATACCCGTGATTGACACGGCACGAGGGGGCTAAATATAATAATTACAATCATTACGATAGATGGGCAAACTGAAAATAATAATCGAACACAAAGCAGGTGGCATTGTCTTAATGTGGTGCAGTAGATGCATGTTTATATAGTAATAGTAATGATAATACTGTAATGCGTTATACCTTTGGAAGCCCCAGCTGAGTCTGGAGGGTCTTGCTACATTGGGACGGTTGACAAAGTTGTAATAATGAGCGTTTGGCATTCTGTGGTGGTAATCCGCAGAAACCCCCTATGCATAAAGCACGGGGTGCCACGTCCATAGCACCGCATAGAGAGAGATTGCTGTACTTTCATCTGGTGGACACCTCAGAGCCAGCTCCCAACCATACAACATTCAAGTACTGACCAGGCTCAACCCTGGGTTTGTAATTTAATCTGGGGCCTGGGATGAAGAGAACAAAAAGAAAACACAAAGCCACAAAAATCCTCACACCCCCCTCTCCCCCCCCCCATAAAGTCGCACCCTGAGTTGGTGAAAATCCACTGAAGTTTATTCACGTTACAGAGCCACCCTCACCCTAACGAAGCGAATGCAGTGATACGCAACAAACTTTAAGCAACATCTGATGACGAGATGCCTACAATGCAGATGCCTCGTGCGTGGTGTGCACTCTCATATCTTTGTTAACAGAGATCATTATTTAACCATCTGAGACACATGACTCACGGAACATTAAAATCGTGTTTAATTACATACTCTTTCAGAAATGCCACTTACTCCATTCCTAATACTATTACAATAGTTCTGTGAAGCAGATAAATAAACTATACTTGAGCAATTGCTGCACGCTGCTATTATTTGTGTACACGACATCGAATGCGCCTAACCATGCTCATATTGGGGGTACCTTGCTGAGACTCTAATTAGTTCCAGGTTGCCCTATTAGACAGATCCTTATACTCTTGGTTCTTTCGGTAAAGTCACGTAGAAGGGAAACAATAAAATAATAAAAATATAAAACAAAATTCTTCGTGACTTTACCGAAAGAACCAAGAATATGAATCCCTGCAGTCACGAAAGCTTTAAATCAAAATTTAAACAGATCCTTATTCAAAACATTAACAGATAATTATGCCTGTAGAACAACGGATAACGTTATGTTTACTATAGCAACAATTTAACACACTCCTTTTATTTAATTTATCACAATTTATGGACAACTTTGAAAAGGCACTCCCTTTTCATACGCACATGCAGAATACAATTACATTTCACAAAAGAGAAAGAGGAGTAGAACAGGGTAAACACGCTCCAGGACTTGAGGCCACAAAGTCGATCTCTTCAGTCTATCAATCGGTGTCAATTGCGATGAAGTTGCTACTTAATAATATGTCCTGTATGTTAATATATCTTTCATAAATTAGTCACTTGATAGACCTGTAAAGCAAGACTTTGTATGACCACCTAATTTCTGGCCCGGAGTCAAAATAATTTACATTGGTCAACACAAGAGGTGGTCATAAAGTTCTAACAATAGAACACTACATAATCACAGGCTCACACCTATAACCTTATTCGTTTTATACATAACCGACTGCACTACGAACCCGGTGCCCTGAGTTCGATTCCCAGCCACGGCTAACCTCAGTGGCGGGTGATATTTGCACCAGTTCTGGACTCCCTCTTTCGCCGACCTGCATCGACCAGTGTGAAGTTTCCTCAAACAACCCATATGACCAAGAGCATGGGGAGGCCTTCGTCCAGCAAGAAGATTGACGTCGCGCTGTACATTTGTATTTCTACAACTTACTTAACATCAGGATCGAGAGGAGGAGCCAGTGAGGTGGTTCAGGAACCTGGTAAGGATATCCCCCGGTAGACTTCCCCTGGAACTCTACCGGGCAAGACGTCCCACTGGGCGAAGACCCCGGGGCCGGCCCAGGACAAGCTGGCGGGACGATGTCGCTCGGCTGGCCTGGGAACGCCTGGGAATTCCCTAGGAAGAGCTATAATCTGTGTATAGTAGTGTATAATGTAGTGTATAGTAGTGTATAGTGTCGTATATAGTAGTGTATAGTGTAGTAGTACTGGAGTCTGTCGTCAGGGAAATTGAGGTTGAGGACTGCCCTACTCAACATGCTGCCACCACGACCCTCACCAGGAGAAGCGGACTGAGAAACGAATTTAGCATCAATTCACTTAGTTTATCACATCAATGGTGCATACAAATACAAATGAATATTATACAATCTTGATTTGAAGTTTTCGTGACTGCAGGAATCCATACTCTCTGGTTCTTTCGGTAAAGTCACGTTTTATTTTATAATTTTTTCTATCTACGTGACTTTACCGAAAGAACCAGAGAGTATGCATATCATACAATTTTGGATGTATAGAATCTTATTATGTAAGAGTTTAAATATAAATGTTGGGTATTGCATCGAAGAAAAATTATGTGGCTCAGTGGGTAGAGCAGCAGGGCTCACACTTACGAGAATGTGAGTTTAAATCCTGGTCAGGGTCAACGCAATCCGTCAATCATCATCATCGTCATCATCAATCATAACCATCATAATTTATCTGCAGATTGATAATACAAGCACCGTCCGCTGAGGCTGCACGATAGCAATGTGGAATTTCTGCCACTGGCTCAGAATCAACAATGAAAATAAGCACTGCCTCAGTGTTCGTTTAAACATGGGAATGCTATGATGCCATTTCATGTTGCTCAGACCTCTGATTGCCCATTGTGTTTAACTGTCAGTGTTAGATACCAAAGCAGTTCAGGCAGACATTGCTTGCTGTTTTGTGTTCCAATCATTGCCCATCTCAGTTATGAGGCTGAGATACAGCTACAAGATCGATTATGAGAAGATAATATTGAATGTGTAATTCAGTGTAAAATATAAACAGTACCACTCAAACTCCCTCTCGAATTAACCATGGCATCAGCTTGATCTATATTGAATAAAACTCCCAAGAACTGAAACAAAGGTGCACTGGCTAACACAAAATGTCCAATAACATAACGTATGAAGGCCACATAGAGTTAAAAGAACCCATCATTATGCAATTATAAGGTAGCGTGGTATTGTTTTATAGAGTTGCATTTTAAAATGGGATATCAACATTTTGATGAAAATGTTGATACAGCTGGCTTCAGTAAAAAAAAATGCTGTAAATCAACACCCCCAATTTAAATCAAGTCATTGTGCAGTTCTATAGACATTGGAATGATAGCACTTAGTGGTTGAAGTCACTTCTAGGTCAAGCAACAAAAATAGTGCCATATATGTTTTGCTTTGCATTCACGCACAAATCTCTTAAGAGCATCGCTTACGACACTGCATAACAAACGCCTTTTCACACCATCGTTTCTGTTTTAAAGCCACCAATTTGCTTTTATAAACCTTTCTCAGTTCTCATGGTCGATGAGTCTGCGGCTTTATTAATAATCAATGTGTTTCTTCTTCACTGATGTTATTTAACTTTACCTTATGCAACACAAAAAACTACGCGGAAAGATACCCTCGCGTGACAAACGTTCCAAACGCGACACTCGTCTGCGACAATGCATGTACAAGCACTATCTGTAATAAAGTTTTTTTTTGTATTTTCTCAACAAATTTTGTTACTGAGATCCGTTCCCTTCCTAAACAGCAGACATATAGGGCATGGTTTTCTGCCACTATGGCAGAAAAAAAGTGGCTCATTGGGCCGTCTCTCAGACACATTTTGCTACCAACGAAAGCTCAAGCGCGGGGCCTCTTGAACCATGAACCTTTCCCCCCCCAGCCCCCCATCAAAAAGAGAACAAAAAAATCTGGCCCAAATAACCACGGCCCATTTCCTTTGCTGTTCGTTTCCCACAACGACCCGTGTCCCCCCATCAATGCCCCCCCCGTCGTCCTGCCGGCTGCGGGCGCGAGCGCGTCCGACGGCGACACAGGAGAGGAGATGTGGAGAGGAGGACGGCGGTAAAAAGGGAGGCGGGGGGGGGGGGTGGCCGGCCCACCGACGTCCTTCACTCGTCGGAGAGCTGCGACAGGCCCGAGCTGCGGATGATGCGCCTGAGTCCGCGTTTGCCAGAAGGCCCACGCGGCTTGGCAAACGCCTGCGCGTAGGCAAGTTCCCTTGGGTGGACCTCTTCGTAAAGGAACTCCGTCGTCAGCTCCGCGCCGTCGTCAATCTCCAGCTGAAGTGTGATGAGGGCAGGGAGGGAGGAAGGGACAGGTCAAGTGGTGAATATGCTGGGGTCGGCCTCTAACCCATGACCACCTTGTACACTTAGGCGCATCTCGCCATCACGGTGCCTGAAGGAGATCCACTGTTAGGGAAAGGTGCCTGAGAGGGGAGTGGGTGAGAGTTAACGGCTGTGAGGAGTGCCGGCTATGAGGGGTGAGTCAGCGGTAAAGAAGGTGACAGAGGTGGTGAGCGGCGGTTACAGTGGCAGCGGGGACGATGATGAGGAGGGCAGCAGCAGCAGCTGTGGGGACATCGTAGAGATGGCCGTCGTGAGAGAGAGAATTACTGCGCGGAGGATAAGCGAGGAGACACAGCTGAGATTGACTCTCCATGAGGAGGAGGGTGATTTTAGGAGGGGTTGGTTCTGTAAAGGGACTGCTCAAAAGGGAGGATGGCTGTGCGGGGTGGATAACGGTGAGGGGGAGGGGGGTGCTGAGAGGTGGTGCTTGCAAAGAGGGTTACGATGTAAAAAGGGTGGCTGTAAGAGCCATGGGTGTGTGATGTTAAATATTGTTTGTTTTGCATTCTTATTTACTTCCATATCACACGGCCGGTAGAGATGGCTGTATGTGTATGCATTTTGAACTTCTTTCGCATCGTACGCAGCCAACTGTGCTCATTGGAGGTGCGAAAAATGTGAGATGCTGTGAGAGCAGCTGTCTGTGGGAGAGGGGGGTGATGAGAATAAGGGAAGCTGAGAAGGGGGCAGCTGTGAGAGCAGAATGGAGAAGTGGCAGGCACAGGAGAGGGGGCAGCTATTAATTGAGGGCAGCTATGTCATAGAGGGTGGCTGTGTGATAGAGGGAGCAGCTGTGTGAGATGGAGTGACTGTGTAAAAGGCGCGACTGCGTGGGAGGGGTGCATGCTGTGCGACAGACGGAGGCATTGTGACAAGGGCGGCTATACGACAGGAGGAGGCTGCGTGAGAGGGAGCGGCTGTGTGAGAGGGGACAGCTGTATGATAGAGGCTGTGTGACAGGAGGCGGCTGTGTGGGATGCATCCGTTGTGAGAGTGTCGCTCTGAGTGAACCCGCTTGCCTTCTTGGCGACGTCCAGGCCGATCTTCTTCTCAGCGACGTCCAGCAGCGAACTCTTGCAGCTGGAGTACAGCATGCGCTCCTTGATGCTGCACTTGTACCCGGGCATGGAGTAGATGAACACTGTGGGGTGGAGGCAGCCACCACGACGATGGCAACCGTTCAACGAGCAACGCGCCCCGCCACTTCGTGAATGCAGTGATGCGTGCACGCCTGTTATGGGCGACGTAGCTGCCTACCGCGCGTGCAGGCGGTGCAACTGCACCGGGGCGCATGGGACGGAGGGGCCCAGGTGCCGGTCTATGGGAGGAAATTTATCTCGAGCCACCCCCTTTCATAACTTTTTTGGTGTGATTTGTGTACCTTTCCTAAACTTTGCACTCCTATCGTGTTTCTGTACTGTTTGTTGTTGTTACTTTCTTACCCGCGCCTACTGGACACCTGCGGAATAGAGCTTCACAGCTCATCGGATTCCTCCTCCAGCGTGAATAAAGATTCTGATTTTCTTGCACCGGGACCCATACCAACCACGCTAATCTACTGCTGCGGCTGATGGCGTGCGGGAGTGTGTGCACACCTGTGATCCAGAACTTTGGAGGCAACGGTTGATGTATCGCACGGATGCGTAAACGCTCGAAGTTGCTGGACTACAGGCTGCACATGTATACAAACAGCTCTAAGGGTAAGAGGAACGGTAATAATGCATGAAAAAGCCAGGAAAAAGTGTGATGGCCACAATTGCACCTTCCGTGTGTTATATTACCCTTCTTTGTTTTCAACCAGCACACACACTCTTCTGTTTAATGAGTTTGTCATTGTTTACAGAAAGGGTTAGAATTGGTTTGAACATTAATGGTCACTAGTCTGAGCATGATTACAAACAGCGACAATAAACACTAACAACGCACACTCACACACACGCACAGACACCACAATTCGCCTCACAGGCCATCCAGGCAAGGGCTGCTCAGTCAGTGTCCTCTTGGCACAATCGAACGACACGGAAGAGTGCTCACTTTAACGGGTGTCTCCAAGTCACACACAACCCAGAAGTCACCGGTTTGAGTCTATCTCCCGGCGTGGCAGTTGAAACAATAGGGCAAGTTTATTAACCCCCCCCCCCCCCTGCCTCCCACCTAACCACGAGCCTCTGTCGATCCAGCAGCGTAAATGGGTTCACCGAGATAAAAAGACTAGAATCTATTTTAGATTTTTACCAGGTAAGGCGCAACCAAGAAATGTATAGTCACAGACAAATACTCTAAACGCATGTTGGTTCTAAATGTGGAGGGAAAAACAGGAGTATCCGGACAAAAATCCACACGACCACGGGGAAAGAGACACTGCAAACTCCAAATATCCAGCAGGTGTCAGGGTCAGGATCAGGATAGAACCCACGACCTCTGGCATACCAGGCGAGGGAGATAACATCTCGCCACCGCGGCACCTCAATTGACAGGTCGGATCTGGTGGGTAAAGTTTGGGTACTCACATTTTTTTCAAGACGCCTGACCAGCACGGAAGAGTAGGCCAATAACAACTCCATAGCGGTTCTCTAGAACTCCCCACAGATGGCTCGAGCCAGCTACGTCGAGTGGCAGGTGCGTCGTGGTGCTAGCACGTACCGACGGAGTGCAGCTGCTCCCCCTCGTGCATGTGCGTGAAGAGGAAGAAGTGGTAGCGCGCCGCGTCCGACGGGATGCGGCACGGGAGCTCGTCCACGGTCGTGCGCTCCGTGTGCTCCAGGTTGATGGTCTCCAGGTTCAGGTCGATGCTCTGGCACAGAGTGGTGGTCGGCCGTTAGGATTGGTGCGTCCACACCCAGAGACCGCGGCCACGCTCTCCCATTTATTTTCCCTTCGCACGCGAGTGTTTAGACTGTTTTAGATACTTTTGCTGCTGCTGCTGCTATAAGTGTCCAATTGACATGCAGCTTTGTTGAGATATCATTTGTGGCCAGGTCGCTTTTGAAAAAAAAGTTAATATCTCCGTGGACTTCACCTGGTAGCATGGGGATGGTTCAGTTTGATTTGTATGGGTTTGGGTGATTTGTTTACCTTTCTACTACTTTGGATTCCTATTTTTGTATTGTTTGTTGTTGTAACATTCTTACCTGCCCCTACTGGACATTTGTGAAAAAGAGTTTTATAGCTCATCGCATTCCACCAGGATAAATACATTTTCTGATAAAATAAAATATTCTGTACATATGGAAAACGTCATTAATCCATATGCGATTCTGTCGGTCAAAACACTTTCTTGAATTGAAAGCTAAAAGTAGTTTTGTGAAATGAAGAAAGATCCAGGTAACCCGTGGGGGGCAATATATTTACAATTAGCATTATTGATCTGCAATGTCCATGAAACGACATATTAAATGTGTTGTTTTATTCGTGACTACCCAGATTTCCATCGAAAAAATATACACAGTTATTCACTTTACTCTCACGTGGCAGGCTGCCCTCTTGCTTCAGGCACACATTTGCTGCCGCCGTGCTCCCCAGCGTTCCGTAGCCACGCTGCGCCGACCGTCACCGCCGTACTCACCAGCTGCACGTAGTTGATCTTGCGAGTCTTGAGCCGGTAGAGCGCCTCCAACGCCCTCTCCTCGATGGGGAAGGCCACGCCTTGCAGCGTCTGGTGCTTGCTGTCCACGCTGATGTCTGTGTTCACCTGAAAGGTTTTTTTGAGCTGTTGAATTCCGGCGAAATACGGCCGCATTTACCACTTTAACAAAAATTACATTTTAGTTCCCCCCCCAATTCATGGAGATTTTCGTTCAATTGGAGAGGGGAGTGGCCGGTGCGACATGGATTGTTGACTCGTAGGGCCCAGAGAGATGGCGAGAGCTTGGGGAGGCCTTCGTCCAGCGGTGGATTTTGATTGTGGCTGATGAGGGAGGGGGAGTTAGCGTGGCAGTGCCAAATTCATGGCGCAGTACATAAACACAGAATACACGGTGCTGTAGACTTCTTGACACGACGTGATTGAGACAAATGAACGGGGGCTTCTTCTATAATTGTTGGAGGTCAATACGGACAATAGTTGAAACTTAAAGCTAACAGCACTGTCTGCCATAAACTAGACTTGTTCCTGACGCTAAACATTAAAGAGGTTTTAACAAAAGAAGTTGGCATGGCCAATTTCTCGTGTTGGCCTTGTTTTGAAACTACGCAATAGAAGTTGCTTAAAATGTGGCTCTCTTAAGTGTAGGCTTCGGGTCGCTTTTGTGAAACAAGATGAGACCGATTTGCTTTGTTTTTAGAAAAAGTTACCGTGTTTTTTTGTTTGTATATATGATTAATAAAAATGTAATCACGATATCTTCTAGAATAAATATATTTATATACACTGTAGCAAGGATAGGCACAGTGTAAATACAAAGAGGCATAGTCATGTAAATCGTTCTTTTTCATAAGGTGAAAGAGAAATTAACACCGGAGATTAACTTTTCAACATTTTTTTCATTGTAAAATTAGTAAGAACATCTTCAAATGGTGTTTTTCGCAGAATAAAGTGAGTTACAGCGGCGGTAGTAACATGGACAGAACCAACTGTAGAAAGTTATTCCTGAAGGCCCACGAAACAGAAGTGCCTCGGGCCTACAATAACCTTAATCAGACCCTGGTTGTGTGTTTATGCATTGCGCTATGAACTCGGCAATCTCGGTCTAATTCCCGACTAGACAACATGAGAGGCACGTTGGTTTACGAACCAGTCCCAGTACAAAGTATAAACATCAGCACGAGGAAGGTGGCAGACAAAGGTGGCTATTTCACCTCCTTGGGATCATAGACGAACAGTACACCAATGGATTGTCCTGCAATGCCTTCTGCCACCTCTAATATGAGCGACCCGGTCTATAGCCTTCCATCCATGCACGATGGTCGCCCATCCAAGCGCTATCCAAGCTCAGTCCTGCTTTGATTTTGAGATATGATGACATCGAGTGCATTCCGGATGACTTGGTCACAGGCAATGTTACCCGCTTTACACAGCGTCTGGGTACAGCCAGTATCCTAACAATGAGTCTTGAGATTGAATTAATATTTTCTGGGCAGCCAAATCAATCTATTTTTTTCATCTCAAGACCACCGACGATGATGTTATGAGGTGGAGGAGGGGGGGGGGGGGGTGCCACCTCATTCAATTTTATCCGCTGCAGCTCCTCTTCCGCTGCCGTAAGAGGAGCTGGCGCGGAGCGAGCGAGTAGATGTCTGTTGTAGCCGTTGTAGGACACATCGTCCTGCACACAGACACACGCACAGACAAAGATCCCCCGTGTAGCCTTAACAGACTGCTGGGGCAAGTGCTGTTAGCGAGTAGCACCTATGAAGGCCGGCACGGCACATGACAGGGTGGCTGGCCAGCACAACGCCCGGCCGCCTTTGCCTCCCCAGTGGCGATGTTTACTACACACCACACCGGGTAATCGTTTGAAATCGAGGCGGCCGAGGGGCAGCCGAGGATCGGTTCAGATAATCATCACTGGTGTTGACCTTGAGCGGGAATCGAACCCGCACTACACACACACAGACAGATGGCCACTCGCCCAGGTCGGGTATCAAGCCCGGCGTGATTTGTACAGAGTAACACAGAGTTGCTTCACCAGGAATTGAGTTAAAAGTGAAGAGACGGTGCCAGTGGTGGTGGAGGTGGTTCAAAACAAAACTCAAAACACCGCCTTCGCCATTGCCACTGGCTTTAAACAGAAAAGTACAACACAGCAGGCTCCACGGAGTAGGAAATGGCCCTTTAACGTCATTAAACCTACTAGGAGCGATTCTGAGGCTCAAAATTTATGCATAGAATGATGCACGTGAGAATGATTTACTTTGTTCTTGTCCATGCTGCATGTAACAGGTTAACGTGACTCCTGCATCCACTAGAGGCCGCTACATTCACCACAACAATACAAAAACCACTACTATCCGCATAGGTTTTTGCGGTCGTGCTGTATATAGCGCTGGCGTGTGTTTTCGGGTTGTACTGCGCGTTGTTCGACAAACCATCGTGCTGAACAACACACGGTACAAATCAAAACCACACCGGAGAGAGCCAAGAACCAACTTCTGAAATGTCACAAAGGACACCGGAGTGAAATCCTTGTGTTGGCGTGAGGTGTGTCTCACCAAGGCTGTCCCAAACATCTCCTCCTTGATGTGGCCTCCACCAAACTCATTCTTCACCGTGGCTCTAGTTGCAGCGTAGAGCATCTTCTGTCTCACCTGAAGACCATGGGTGACAGCAAAGTTCGCATTGAAACTCGACCGGGTCAAGACACTGGAACACAACTGCCAACGGTCGCGAATTTTGTCACGGGGCCTTCAATGTTAAACAAAAAACCTGTTATAGACTTCGTAACGTCTGTCACTGGTAGTGACACGGGCGAGTGGTCTAGCGTTTCGCTGCATATTGTAGAGGTTTGTGGTTTGAGACCAAGCTGCCCTGCTTACTACTGCGGGTGTATTTTCCGTAAAATATGTGGCGTTTTGCATAGCCATGGATATTCAACATCCCGTGACGTTATAAAAAATATATCAGTCGGCTACGTGAAATAAAAAAAAAATATTCAATCGGGTCAAATCACACAGCAACATAGCACCCCTAATAGCAGACTATACCCGTCTGAGAAACATAGTACCTTCGTGATAGCCTTGCGCGATAAGAAATGTGTGAATAGCAAATTTACGATACTCTTTTTTGCAAACTGGCCCAGTCTAATTCCGGTGGTGGCGCTGTTGGCGCCGGTGGCGGTGCAGCTGCTGGGGAGGGTTATCACCGGCGAGAGGTCGGGCGACCAAGAGATGAAGAGCCACTCGTAGCCCTGGGCATTGCGCGAGTCGAGCCGGAGCAGGATGTACGTCGGCTGCTTGTCCTCCAGCAAGGGCAGCATCAGCGCATCATAGTCGCGCTCCCACGGGCCCCCCGGCCGCCGCTGGGCAGCAAGCACCAGCTTCTCTGCGACGCGGAAACGGTCGGCGCACACGATAGTTAGATTCGTCTCGTTCAAAGCCACCCATCCATCCGTTCGTCCCCGTTCATCTTAGCCGGGCCGCGGTGGCTATGCTGCTGCACGCGGTCTCTAACCCAGCACTGCTGAGGTAGCAGCAAGGGTTGGCGGATCGCCGCACAGATGTTGTTGTGAAACTCCCTTCTACCCGTGGGCATCGAGGAGGTGCCATACCCTGGCTCGCCAGGAGAAGGCGGTACAGCAAGTGGACTTATCGGTATCTGTTTACATCGGTACGGGGATAGTGCGTTGCCCCCTCGCGTGTGTGGGTTTTCTCTGGGAGCTCCGGTTTCCTCCCACCACTTTGTATGAACACAACTCATCATTAATTGGCTAACAACCTCTTCTATTATAAAAGCCCAATGTAAAAGAGTTTGATGAGTCAATGTGGCTTTCCTGGATGAATAAGTAAATCATTATTAATTGTATGTAATATTAAGTACATCTGTCTGTCCACCTGTTCTTTCCATGGCTCCGTCAACGGCTGAAACCAAGTGTTTAAAAATGTTGCTTATCATTTATTGTCCAAGGACATCAACATAATATACAGTCCACAAAACATTCCAAAATCCAGATATAAATATGCATTCCTGGTCTAAAATAAAGTTATGTAGGTTTGACTTCATTACCAATGGAAAGACTCAAAAGCGTAAGTTTTATTTTGACGCTGCAGTATCTTAGTGTGTTTCATTACCATTCATGTCTCAATTGTGCTATCTGCATCATGTAGTGATGAAGTGAGTATCTACTGAATTGAGAGTGATTCGCAAGCACAAAAAGACTCAAACTCAAGCGGAATAAATGTACTGTATAACAGGTGACGATTCAGGTAATGGGCATCATTGGCGAATGTGTTGAACTTTCATTAACGCTTGCAGGACCGAAGAGCTCTCTCGGACCGAGTTCCCCCACCTGTGGTGTCGTACTTGCAGGATAGAAAACACAGTGGGCTGCGGTGACCCCATTGATAAAGCTGCACTGCCGACCGAGCCATGAAACGGAGCGGGCTCACCGAATGCGCGAGCGACGACACTCACCATCGCCTTTCGTTGTCGCTAAGCGACTCGGTGTTTGTTGACGGTCGCTCTGCCGGGCCGTGCGACTCGCTAGTCCATTACCTAACGGTCTAAATTAGACGCAGCCACGCAAGACACGCCGAGAGCCGGCCGCCGGTCAGTTGAAGCCAAGCGGCTGCGATGTGACGAGACGAAATTTTCCCGTGTTACTCCATTGCTCGTTAATATTTTAATTAACGCCGTGGGTTCGTTTTCCACTTGAGTACTCAATTTGTACGTGACGACATTCCCATAACCGAGTTCAAATCCTGGTCAGTGTTATGGGGGGGGGGGGTCACTAATTATCCGTCTACGATCCACACAATTGTGTACCACTTTGTGACAAGTAAATAGCGGTTGTCCTATAAGTGCAATGGTCCTGCCTTGGGAGTGTGGAATTTTCATCACTGCTTGAGGATAACCAATTAAAGTGAGCACCGTTAATAATGATGTTAAAGAGGGCATACATTGACTACTGGAAATAATCAACAATAATGATTGGATTCCACCGGAGCACATTCAAATTCAGTCCTCCCAGACGTAAAGGCTTTTGTTAAAGGAGTGGCCACAGATGCCACTTGCAGACAGCTCAAGTGTATGGCATCACCACTGGTTCACACTCCAAATCCGCCACCTCTCCTCTCATGGTGGCAGAGTCTGGGCACGATGTCTTTGGCAGCAGTCCTCATTGGCTCGCATCTGTCGGCTGCAGCTACTGCAGACGCAAAATGTCTTCGGGGGCTGCCTCGAGTGGATTTTGTCACCAAAGCATTTTAATTGTTGTCTAAAATAATTGTGTCACTGCGAACGTATTTTAGATTAGCCGTCATTTGGGCTATAGCAACGAGCGATTAACACCTTTGCGTAGAGTAGCTTTCACATTTGAATGATAGGTTATTTATTGAGTGAAATGCTGACAATATGTAAGATATCTGGCACCAAGTGATTGAATTAACATGCCATGTGCTGTGTTTTTCCATCATAGAGGTTTTGTTGTTGGGTTAGATAGCGTAAATATAAATGTGTCGTTAAACACACCACCACCCGACACAGCCAATTAGTAAGGTTTGTCACAGAAACAAAACATGCAATTGATTACCAGTTCAGCACACTGTTGTGTAGGAGAGTAAACCTATAACATTGCTGTGTGTCTGTACGGGCATGGGTTCTGCTGCGCTTCTATCAAAGCCCAGCTGAGTAGTGCTCGCGATTAGAGGTCTCGCAACTCACGATCGGAAGGTCACAAGTTCAATATTTGTATATTTATACTTCTTACACAACCCACCAGCCACACGGCCTTCTGGGAGTGCACAATTTCATCACCGTTGTTTCGAGAAAAGCAAACTCTGCACTCGGTTTGACACAATACCTCGTCGGCAGGGGCAGGCCTGCTTGAATCAACGCTGGTGAACCTACAGGTAAGGGCCCTTCAGGTTATGGGGGTATAGCTATTGTCCGCTTGTTTATTTTGTTCTTCACATATCGGTGGGACGCGGTGATCAAGTAGCAACGTTTTCTCTTCTTTGAAAATCCCGGCAATTGTGTGGAGGCTGCGTCAACACGGACGACGCAATAAGACATGACCCTCTGATTGGTCACACCTATGGTTACACCTTGTGCCCGGGTTGTTAGAAAACAGTGCCTTAGATCACCCGCGTGAGACCATTAATTCAGCTCACAGGTGAACGAACTGCCATTGTTTCAGGCTGTTAAAAAACACTTAGCAACTTAATGGTTTGCTTTGTGTTCTACGACCGGGAGACCTTAATTGCTTTATGGGTTAAAGCAAATAAAAGCAGACTTAAATTATGTCCTATGGTGAGACGGAATTCCCACGGCTGGCCAGGAGAGGGTTCGGCAACCAACATAGCAAGAAGAGCCACTTTTCCCCCTTAGAATTCAGGAACAAACGCAATGTTTCAAGGGCCGCAATGCACACGGTGAATACGAGGTGGTTTTTCAGAAATAATGTCAGGAAGCGGTGCTTAAAGAGTCGCAGGTTGCCGACCCTTGGGCTAGGAGGACCACCAATGGAGTTGAGCAAAGCCCAAGGCACAAATGAGTATGGGGAGACATCCACTCTCTCGACAATGTCGTATCGTGTCTACCCTTTGTAGCTCCTCCACTTCCATGGTGAGGAGCAGACAGCTGGGCAGCAATTTTAGTTGTTGCGCCGTACTTCTATGCTCCCACATCTATGATTCCCCGTTTTCACAACCCTGCACGAAATCAGTGTAGTGATGTTTCAAACCCACGTGGCGTGGGGAGGCCCTCATCCAAGAATAGGATGGACCAAAGTGCTCGTCATGTACACGGTGGTCCAGATGTATCGTGATCCCAAATTACTTTTTAAAAAATCAATGAAGATTTGGAGAATTAAATAAGGAGTCACAAGACATCTGGACCACGCTTGGTATACATCACTTTTGTAGCGGCTTTCAGCAGAAGCTGCTGCGCTGTGCCACGGTGCGCTGTGCCCTCACCATCCTTGATGGAGACCTTGATGAGGCGAATCTCTCCATCGCGCGCCTTGGAGAACACCTCCTTGAGCTCCGTGGACGCTACGAGCACCAGAAACATGCCGCCAGCCGCGTTAGACGAACCTCGCAGCGAGCAGACCCACCTCACGTACGTTGAACTTCTTTCGCACCGTACCAAGCCAACCGTGCTAATCGGAGGACGTGGTGGCGGGGAGGCGGTGGGGGGGATATAGATGCCCTGGCTGGGGCTGAGCCGGGCTCAGACACCCTCCGCTGAGAAGCCACAAACTTGGAGGTCGCCCGTCGCGGTCGAAAGAGTCGCAGAAGCAGCCACACGCAGCAACAGACAAAAAATCGACGCGCGACGGTGGAGCGCGTGCCACTCGCAGGGCCGCCGGCTGCCGCGTCGTTGGCTCGAGTCGGTATGTCGCCCGCCTGCCAAGCTGAGGTGTGTACGGGCCCCCTAAGCTGTCGTTGGTGCTCTCTGTGCACGCGTGGACGTGGAAGTCTCCAGCCAGGGGTCTCTGGGTAGCCTGCTGTGGGGGGGGGGACAGCGTTTGCGTAGCCACACTGGGACAACAGGCTAAATATATAACGGCGGCCGGATTGAAGACGCTTTATGTATCGCCGGCTCAGGCGCATGCTATCATGGACTAAATATAACCCACTCCATGCGGACCACAGGCCAGACGACAAGGTCTTGTGACAAGGTCTAAGCAGAAATATCCACAAGCGGTTATGGAATGTGGGTGATTGCAAGTATTGTGAGTAGCAGACGGTGTGACGTGAAGCCTGGCGTTTAACTGCTTTTCGAGGCTGCGTTTCCAAGTCCGAAAAAGGAGTCTGCCTCATGAAATGGCTTTGTTGATCCTGTGAGTATCTGGTGCAGCTCTCGGTGACTTACCGATGACGTACGTAGGCTGGTCATGTATACGTTACGTGTAAATAATGACGGCAGTAATCCAGGTCAAGAAAAGAAAGTCCTTCGGAATTATCGTTAAGCTGAAATAAAATGTGTGTATTCCACGATGGAAGTGTACCCTCTGCCTGCTTTGTAACCTATTCAATTACATGCAGAATATTAAAGTTCAGCATAGAAAAAAACGAATCTGCCAAAATTGGGAAACGTTTACACAGCAATGAACGTGGTGCTTCTGGAGATTTCTCTTTGGCTTTGGCCTAAAAAAACGTTCCAGCTGTTGGTGGTGTCTTCGGGGGATTGTTTTTCTCCCCGGTTGACAGATCCAGCTGTTGATGCCGCTTCAAGTAACAACTTTACATCGAAAACATTCGTCCCGAGTTAGTCTCCACGCAATTTGCGTGACGGGGCGCGTGTACCAACACGATGTTGAGATGCATATTTCACTCAAAGCCATGCTTCCGATCATCGTGTTAGTATGATGTTTACCTCGAGTAGGGAAGTGACTACATTTATCCCTCTGGGGAAAATTATATTTAACTTGCTTACATCGCTGATTAAATATCACATGTCCAAGTTTCCATTGCGAGAGTGATATTGTATGACAAATACAGACCGGTGAAGGTTTGTGATGAAGCAATTTAATGAACGTGTGTGTGCGTGACTTTGTTTGAATAAGTGACTGTTTAAATGTGAATTGTACTGAATAAACAAAGAAATGTGTCGCTCTCCCTGCCATCCCTGAATATTTTCATATTATCGAGTGACACTCTTCATTCTGTACAGATGCCAGTTTCAGGAATAACCTCTGGCAAGATAAATATGGGTGGTGGTTCGTGACGGAGCGATCCCAGCAGCAATATCCTTCACGTAAACACATGGTGTGGATTGTAATAACGAGGTCTTATGTGCACATACAGATTAACCCCGCTGACAGACAGTGCCCAAAGCACCACACGTAAACGATTCACCAACCTTCGATATTAACACTGCAGCGTGATAGAGAAATATCACCGAAGCATGGAAAGAGTGAGGTGGTGTGATACAAAGACAATTGAAGAGGTGCTCAGAGGGAATGACCACAAGCAGGAATGACTTAAGAAGTCTGATTAGAAACAAGGTGGCATACGCGTCCTCAAGAGGGTCAGCTGGAGTTATGACGAAGGTGATTGCGGCAAGGGAAGCGCGCTGGTGGGAAACGGATCAGCTGGTGGGACAATGTGAGGATCTGGAAGGAAACACCCCCCCCCCCCCCCTGTATTTTGGATGCTTTTAGTCGCAAAAGCCTACCACGCGAAAAACTGACCTGGAATGGGTCTCTACATGAGAGGCGATGAATACCGCGAAAGATGGAAAGCGTCTGCAATGGGTAAGATCAGTAGGTGAGCAATATCTGAACCGATCCTGAGCGCCCTTCTTCACCAACCCACATTGACCAGCGTCATCCAGCAGCGGAGTGACAAAGGGCTGAAAATGATCATATGATGATGATAATAATACTACTACTGGCATACGGCCGCGTGACGGAGCACAACGTGTACACGTGCACGGGGCAGCCGCTCAAGTCGGACATCGCCAACATTGTGGACTGGATGCTCAACAGCTACTTGAGCGGTGCCTACAGACGTATCCAGCTCGGCTACCCTTCCCCACGTGTGTGAGGCAGCTACACACACACACCTCTGACCTTAATGGTCATCTCAAATAACTCGGTTGGTGCCGTGCCATGACGAAAACATTTTGGGGGTGGTGCAAAAGTCCCAGATGTAAGGTGTCATCGTGTCCCATCTGTTGCCGATGTTTCCATGACATTCCTTTCTATGCTACACCTCACCTGTGTCAGTCTATCTTTCTTTGTTGTCCCCTCCCTCGATTACACTTTCATTGGTGTTGCTTTTGCTGGGTTCTTGTTTGGTGACATTCTTTTGTATGTATGTAGAACTCTCTCATCATACATAGCCAACCGTGCTGACCCATGCCTTATCAGTCTGCAGCCCTCAATCAGTGCTATTAGTGTTCAATCAAACTTCAAGATCTCTCTCAAATATCTTTGTGTATTATTCTATCTAACTTTGTTACGCCTACGATCCCCTGCCAAAGGCGTGTAGAATCTGCACCACTCAGTCCGAGTGATCAATACTGGTGAGCAATACCCAATGCTTGTTGAGCATGGAGACACTGACTGCAGCACAATGACAGAAATGTATCGAGTGAGTCATGCTCAGCTGCACACAGTCTGCTTGTTTAAATCAGTATAACCTACAACTATGTAAGGGCAGATACGCTTGCTAACACTTGCCTATTACTAAATCACTCAAGAATGCACTAAACTGGGTTAAGCTTGGATAGAGCTTGGATGGGCAACCACGCGCATAAAACCGATGTTGTTGGTTGTTGTGTGGCGATGTTGTTAGCAGGGAGCAGTACAGAATAATCCATTGTTGCGCTGTGTTCCAGTATCTAATAGTGAGGTTTTAATTTTGAAATATCAGTATAATTTTGTCTTGGGGCTGCTGCTGGCAGGTTTTTTAATTCTCCCAGCTCAGGTTGTGATTGATGTGGTGAATTGTGAGATGATCACATTGTGCTAAATTTGAATTGCCCATCAATCAATTAGCACTGGCAATGCCTTGTTCCTTCCCCGCGGCTATAATAATAGTTATTTATAAAAACACCGCACAGTATGGTAATGTTACAAGTAAAACGTTTCCCTTGTTCTCACACCCACACTGGTGCTGGCCTTAAACCTAAGACATACCAGATTATCTTGCCTCCTCAGCCCTTCGTTGCCATCGCATCACGAGCAACGTGGGACCCCACTACTCAGCGGGTCCCGTAAAGCTGATCTAATTTCCAAGTACTCTCCTTTAAAAAATAGTCAGAAAAATGCCACTGATTGATTTCCTCTTTGGAAACATATATTGAAAGACCATTGTACAGTCAGTAGCTTTCCCTTTTTATCTGATTATTGTGCTATGATTGAGGTTGGCGGCAGCGGTTGGTTTTAGAGATCATATTTGAGTTATGGCTGAAGTTGAGGTCATGGATTCGATCCCAACCCTGACGCCTGCTGTATATTTGGAGTTTACATGTTCTCTTCGTGGTCGCGTGGATATTTCTCCAGGGCCTCCATTTTGTCCCTCCACATTTACAAACATGCGTTTAGAGTATTTGGCTGCTATAAATGTCAACGTGATAAGCCACTTCGTTGGGCTATCATTTATGGCCAGGTCGCTTCTGAAAAAGGGCTTTATAGCTCAGTGGGCCTTACCTGGTAAAAAATAAAAAGCAGTTTAAATAGTAAATACAGTCCTTTTGATTTTTAGTTACTAAAGGTAAAAGGTAAAGGTGTGGCTCTAGAGATGCGGCCTTTACTTCCACTCTGGCTACCCCACCACATGTGACCTGATGATACACTTCGTGTGGTGTTCACAGTTATACTGTTGGGTGATTACTGTTACATTGCTTTTAAGGCTTTATTTTGGTGATTTCGAAAAGTTTTTTTGGTTTGGCCATGTTTGTTGTAGTACGGAGTTAGACTGATGGCTTTAATTTAAGTTGTCTTGTGGTTGTTGTTGTTGTTGTTTGACTTGCATCCCACTGGGATTGTTGCACACAGCGTTCGTTTACGGTGCTTTTTTCTGGAAGATTTTGCTGTTTTTTCCTGGATTTTTCTGTTTGCGCATAGTCACTTTAAGATGTTTTCTTGTTCATGTTTTTGTTTTTTTTTGTTGCGGTTGCACCCGATTCAAGAGCCGAATGGCTCACAGGGTTATACCAAATAAATGAAACTGAAAATGAACTACTGGTTTAACACGTAGGCTTTCGCGACCAATATCATCCATAATAGAGGTTCAATATCATCCATAATAGAGGTTTTCGGGTTAGATCGCGAAACGTCGTACTCAGTTTGTAAATGTTGTGGCTTGGCTCTCCAACACGCCGGTGTGCTGTACTAGTGACGAATTGGCACGTTCTGTTTACGTGACAACCCTTACTAATTGGCTGTGTCGGGTGGAGGCGGGTTTTAACGGCACATTTATTTATTTACGCGATCTAACCCAAAAAAACCCTCTATTATGAATACAACTAATACTACTAATACTACACGCCTCGTGTGGTGGTGCTCATTTATTTATTTACGCGATCTAACACAAAAAAA